TTTGAAAGCATGCAAATGCGAGTAGATAAATAGGTACCACTTAGGTGGGAAGGTAACAGCGCTCCATGACGTCATGCTGGCCACGTGACTGAGGAAATGTCTTCGGACAGTGCTGCTTTAATGGCCTTGAAACGGAGTTGTAGTTAGTAATGACGAATGGCGTAAAATCCACAGGGCGTCCTTTACCTTATACCCTTTCCCCACAAAAGGCCCAAGGCATTCTTAAAGGCCCGACTGACCAGCTCCCCTGGCTGCCTGTCCCCTCTGCCTTCCAGAGTCCTGCGAGGGCCGCTGTGACAAGGGCTTTGACAGCCAGAAGAAGTGCCAGTGCGATGACCTGTGCTTGTATTACCAGAGCTGCTGCAGCGACTATGCCAGGATCTGCAAAGTCAAAGGTAGGAGCAGGGGGCATAGATTGCCAGCTGGGGTTGGCAGAGAGAGAGGAGGCTCCCTGGCAGAGGAGGTGGGGAAGGGCCGGAATCCACCCTGGGGGGCTGGGAGTGGGCTGCTTCAAGCCCTTTCCTTGGTTGCCAACCGAGCAGTGCCAGGGCCCCTCCCTTCTCCTGGTCCTGGCTTAGGCAACCGGCCCCATTTCTTCCCCAAACAAGGCCCCTTCCCTGCTGGATGGCTCGGCCACTACTAGGAGGGAGCAAAATGCAGCTGGTGCAGGGGACAGGAGGGGAGGGGCCAGTTTCTCGGCTACCATCTGGGCACAGTCCCAGCTCTGCCATGCTGCTGCAGCACTTGGCCTTTCCGTTTGGACCTGCAATGCCCGTTAGCTCACCCCACTCCTTTGTCCTAGACCAGGAGGAGTCCGACCTGTGGACTTCAGCTCCCAGAATTCCCCAGCCAGCATCACTGGCTGGGGAATTCTGGGAGTTGAAGTCCACAGGTCTTAAAGTTGTCAAGGTTGGGGACCTCTGCCCTAGATGAATTTGGATGGGAACAAAGTGACCGCCCTCCTCCCCCTGCCAACAACAGAGCGTTCTGTTGAACAGAACAGTGGTGTTCTGTCCCAGCATGGGAGGGGGAAGGGGAGGGGGAGGGGGAGGCAGAGCTGATTGTCTAAGGGTCTGGAGAGAAAATGGAAAGCCCACAGACCCTGGGCAGCAGTGAAATGAAAACCAAATGAATTAAAATAACATGAATTGCTGATTACTGGCAGCGCTTGGTTGCTGTTGGGTACCTGGAATGCCACCCAGCTCTGCCTGGGCTCAGCATCACGCAGCTTCAGAGGGGCTTGGGGAGCCCGTCCTGGCAGTAGAAACAGTGCTGAGACAACCAGCAATTCTGCAGTTGCTAGAATCATAGAATCCTAGGGTGGAAGGGACCTTAGAGGTCTTCTAGTCTAACCCCTTGTTAAGATCATAGAATCATAGAATCCTAGGGTGGAAGGGACCTTAGAGGTCTTCTAGTCCAAGCTCCTGCCCCTGGTAGGAAACCCTGTGCCATTTCAGAGGAGACGGTTGTCTGATGTCTTCTTAAAAACACCCACAACTTCTAAAGGGAATCCAGTCCACGGATTGTTCTCACAATCAGGAAATTTCTCCTCATTTTTCTAGGTTGGCTCTTCTCTTTGACAATCTTCTACCTGTTATTGCTTGTCCTGCCCTCTGGTGCCCTAGAGAATAAGTTGAACCCCTCTTCTTTGTGGCAGCCCAAGTGCTGGAAGACTGCTGTCATGCCCCCCCCCCCCAAACCCTGCCTCTCGGGCCCCCCCCCTTACAGTGACCCGTGGGGACGTCTTTCTCCAGCCAGAGGACGACTACCAGGATTACGTCGACTTGGCCAACGCCACGGATCCGGTGCCCACCACAGAGGACATCACAGAGGCCACCACAGAGCAGCAGACCTGGACAGAAGACTATTCCTGGGCAGAAGACGGGAAGTGGTCCGTGGGCCCTACGGAGGGAGGCCCCTGGGACCCCACAGAGACTCCAACCCTGCCAGGAGAGGAGGAGAGCCTGTGCAGTGGGCAGCCCTTCAATGCCTTCACTAGACTGAAGAATGGCTCCATCTTCGCTTTCCGAGGTAGTCCAGTTGGAGGGGCCGCACCGAAGCTCCCCTCCCCTGGGCTGGCTCCCCCTGCCCGGCCTTTGCTCTTCTAGACCCCTGGAGGGGCTGAGCCTCTTGGAAGGGGGAGTGGCAGCCCCTGTTTTTTTTGGGGGGGGGAGAGCACTTTGCCCCCGCAGCTCCTGGAGGGAGAGGGGTTCCCTAAGCACTTGGTCCCATCCCCATGCCAAAGGGGGGAGTCCCCCCCAAGATCCCCCACTCTACCCAAGCCTTATCCTTCACTGCTCTGCAGGCATCTCCAGCGGGGGCTGCCTCTGGGGAGGTCAGGAGGTGCACCAGGGTGGGGCCGTCGGAGGAAGGCTCGGGGAGAACCGGGGTGGGGGTCGCGGCTATTTATCCGTGCCAGCCTGAGTCGGTCTAAAAGGCCCCTCCCACCACCGGTGAGGGACTCCGGGGGGAGGGGAAACTGGGGGGGGTTCCCAAACGCCTCCTCACCGGCGGCCCGTCTGCCGCAGGCGAGTACCTGTACGAGCTGGACGAGAAAAGCGCCCGGCCGGGCTACCCCAAGCTGATCCGGGACGTGTGGGGCATCGACGGCCCCATCGACGCCGCCTTCACCCGCGTCAACTGCCAGGGCAAGACCTACCTCTTCCAGGTAGGCAGGCGGCAGAGAGGGGGGGAGGGGGCGCCGTCCGCGGCACCAAAGGCCAGCCTGAAGAGGCTCTCGCTCGGACGGGGCTCCTCGGCGCAGCCTGCCCCACCGCTCTCCGCCCTCCGCCCTGCAGGGCAGCCGCTACTGGCGCTTCGCCGAGGGCCGGCTGGAGCCCGACTTCCCCCGCAACATCTCCGAGGGCTTCGAGGGCATCCCCGACCACCTGGACGCCGCCCTCGCCCTGCCCGCCGAGAACCACCTGGGCAGCGAGCGCGTCTACTTCTTCAAAGGTGCCCGGGGGGGCCGGGGGGCTTCCGAGGGGCCGGGAGGGGCCGGGGGCTCCGCTGACGGCGGCCGGGGCTCTCTTGGCAGGGAGCCGCTACTGGTCCTACGACTTCGCCCACCAGCCGAGCCGCGCCGAGTGCGAGCAGACGAGCCCCTCGCTGGTCTTCGACCACTACGCGGGGCTGAAGCACGACAGCTGGGAGGAGATCTTCCGCCTGCTCTTCGGGGGCTCCCGGCCAGGTGAGCGGCGGGGCTGCGCTTCCCCCCCCCCCCCCCCCCCCCCCCCCCCCCGGCGGCGCTGCTCACCGCCCCCCCTCGCCCCCCCCCCCGCCGCAGGTGAGGCCAGCCGAGCGCGCTTCACCGGGCGCGACTGGCGAGGGCTGCCCTCCCGGCTGGACGCTGCCATGCTGGGCAGGATCTACGTGGCGCAGAGCCCCCGCGCCAAGGCCGCCCGCCGCAGGACCTCCCGCCGCCGCCACCGCAAGAAGTACCAGCGCCGGCAGAGCTGGGGCCGCTGGGACTCGTCGCCCTTCTGGGAGTCGCCGGGCGGGATCAGCTCCGAGTCCTCGGACCGCGACTGGCTGGTCTCCCCCTGCCAGCCCTTCCAGAGCGCCTACTTCTTTGTGGACGGTGAGCCCCCCCCCCATTAAAAGCCTCCTTGGATTCACTTAGGGAACTCATTGCCACAAGAGGCTGGGAGGATCGGCGGCCCCATGGCAGAGGCGGTGGACTACAAGTCCCATTACTCTCACCTGCTTTGCAACAGGTGTGCTGGCAGGACTTTAAAAGGGGGGAGGGCGTCCATGCGCCTAGAAGCGGCTCCCCCCCCCCCACATATTGCTTCTTGTATGTTCTGCCTCGCAGGGTTGGGCAGCTATTGCAATCTTAGGATCTGTGGACTTCAACTCCCAAAATTCCTGCACCACAAAGCAGCTTCAGGAAACTGGCTGAGGAATTCTGGGAGCTGCGGTTCACAGGTCTTAACGTTGCCCTAATCCCCCTCCCACAAGTTGAAGCTAAGGGTATCCACCCAGGGGTGGGGGAGAGGGACTGGGGCTCTTGAGGCTGACCACCCTTGACCTTTCTCTTCCAGACAAATACTACCGGGTCAACCTGCACACGCGGCGGGTGGACTGGGTCTATCCCAGGTACCCTCGCCCCATCGCCAAATACTGGCTGGGCTGCCCCTCCGAGGACCTGCTCTGAGCTCGGCCACGGAGCCCTCTGGACCTGCTGACCGGCCCAATAAAGTCTCCCTGCACCCACCCAGCCTGTCCGCCTCCGTCTCCTTGGGCAAGGGGGGGGTGTCCTGGAGACCTCCCTGCCCCCTTTAGGAATGGGGGGAGGGGGCTTGGCTAATAGCATGCCCTCTGAACGGGGGTGTGGGGGTGTTTCTGCAGGCCCTCTGCTGCACTTAGCAGGTGACCCTATAAAGAGAGTAGCCTCCGTGTTTGCCCCGTCCCTTCCTCTTTTGAGTTGCCAGAGGTTGTGCAGAACTTCAAAGACTGTCCAGGGTTTGTGGGCAGAGGGAAAACCGCTGGGGGACTTTAGGCCAGTCCTTTTCTCTCAGCTCAGCCCTCCTCACAGAGGAGTCGTTTGGGGGGGGGTAGGAAGGAGATTTTAGCTGCCTTCAGTCACTTAAAAAGTAATAAAGGCAAGATAAAAATTCATTAATGTTACCTCCCCCCCACTTCAGGGGGCCTGTTTCACATCTGCAGAACAGGTCAGCTGGAGGGGGGGAGGGCAGTGGCACGACTGGCAGAGAGGAGGGCAGGGCGAAGAGCTGGGAGAAGGCGCTGCCCCCCCCTTCACCCCAGCCAGGGGGCCACAGAACCACCGTACCAGGTGGAGCTTGAAGCAGGTACGAGAAAGAGGGGGAGCAGGGGAGAAGGGCCACCCCTCACCTGTTCCCAGGCAGCCGGTGGATCGCAGGGATTATGGAGCCCCTCACCCATCAACACCAATGCACACAAACGGGGGGCAGCCCCCCATCTCCCTTCTAGCGCAGAGGATGCTTAGAGTAGCTTTCCTGCAGAGTCCAACACACCAGTTTTGCGAGTTACTTTTTATTGCACACCACAGAGATCCAGTGTTGTCACAGGGCACCAAAGTTTGGTAGCCAGAACACAAAGTTGTGGGGATACCCCACCCAGCTGAGCAGGCAAGGCCCTTGCCCCCAAAAGTCCCACAAAGGGGGCAAAGGCAGGGGCTCCCTCTGAGACAGCTCCCTCCCTCTCACAAGCGATGGGACCAGCAGCACCAAGCTGGGAAGTGGCTTTTCTGCCCCCCCCCCCAGCTCCAGCACCGGAGGAGAAAGCCCTCGGGGGGCTGTGGGGAGGAGACCCCTGGATGCAGATGGTGGACAGGGGCCCACCTGGCGTGGAAGCAGGGCTGGGGAAGGCAGAGCTGCGTCTCTGTCCATGCTGGGCGGAGGGCTCCTTCCTCCTGAGCGGCCCCTCGGGGATCTGTGGAAGGACGGGGGTCCGGAGGCCACCTCCCTGGGGTGAGGAGCGCCGGAGGAGCCAAAGGAACCGGCTGCAGGGAGCCCAGCCCTGGCCTACAGCTGCCCCAGCTCCCCTTCCATGGTCCGCACCATCACGTACAGCTCCGCCAGGCCCACCACGGAGGCCGCAATCACGGCCGCAATCACCCGCTGGAAGGAAGAAGGGGGGGTCAGTTCTGCCTCTTGCACCCCCTGCCAGGAGCCCCCCTCCCTCTCCCCCCGCCCGTGCTGGTGGCAAAGGGCCCACTGGATGCCCTCACAAGTCCCGCCTTTTAGCTCAACTTTTGTCCCAGTTGATGTGGGAGACCAGGAAACCAGGTTAATGGAGTAAACCATGGCTACGTTCAGGCAATACAGGGAGTCCTTGAGTTACAACAGGTCATTTACTGACTTCGAAGTTACAATGACACTCAAACAAAGTGACTTACGACCGTTTTTCACACTTACAATGGTTGTGGCATTCCCAGGGTCAAATTCAGATACTTGGGCAACTGGCCGGTATTTATGGCCCGGGGGTCACGTGATCCCCTTTTGTGACCTTCGGACAAGGCAAGCCAATGGGGAAGCTGGGTTCATTTAAGAACCGTGTGACTCACTTAACTGCAGGAATTCCCTTAACAACGGTGGCAAGAAAAGTTGCAAAATAGGGCACAGCTCAGGTGACCCCCCTCTTGCTTAGCTACATAACATCTTGGGCTCAACTGTGGTCGTAAGTCGGGGTAGGGGAGTGGAGTGAACTCCCTGCAAGAACTTCCTGCCTGCCCCTCAAGGGGCTCCCATGGCCCCTCCAGCCAGCCAGGTGTTACTCACCGCTGCCGTCTCGGTGAAGATGTACTGGCTGCCCAGGAAGGCGCAGGCAAAGGTGGCTCCCACCGTGACGAGGAAGTTGATGAGGGTGACGGTCACTGCCTTGGCCGACCTGACTGGGAGAGCGGAGGGGAGAAACGGCGTCCAGAGAGCAGACCAGAGAGGTCGCCAGGCTTCCACCTGGGGTGGCTCGACTCTTGGCAGACGTGCCGGTGGCCGGCCGGGGACTGAGAGAGCCTCACCTTGTTCGAAGCACCTGCAGGGGTCCTCCAGAGGATGCTGAACTACAACTCCCAGCATCCCCGCCCTGTGCAAAGGATGCTGGGACCTGCGCTTCCTCAACACCCGGGACAGCCACAGACGCCCACTGCTGGATCGGGCCGCACACTACATTGTCCACCCCCTTTTGGCCCCATTTGCGCCTTGAGTCTTGATCCTGAAGGGCACCTCCTTGGGAATTAAGACTAAGGGGGCTCCCTGATCCTCCCCCAAAAGTTCCCGAAGGGCTCCCAAATGTTGTGGAGGGTTATTTATTTATTGTAAAATTTATTGGCTGCTATCTTATCAAAGGGCAACTCTGCCCCCCCCCTTAAAATCTTTAAAAAGATAAAAACTATACAAAACCTGAAAGACACAAATTCTGAGCCCCAATTAAAAGATGGGCAGGGAGGGACTAGGATGAGGTGGGATTGTTAATCTATCCACGCCCCCCCAATGTGAAGCGCCCCCTCCCCCCTTGGAGCCCCAGGCCAAGTGGCAGAGCCGGGTCTTCCGGAAGCTCAGGAGGGTCGGGGCCAAGCCCACTCCATGGGGGCTGGGGCGAGAGACGTTCCAGAGGGCAGGTTCAGTTCCCCAAAGGATGTCACTTGCCCCTTGGGAGGTGGGAGCCCCCCTTCCCTGAGGAGAGACAGCCCCAGCCCCACCTAACAGTCTGCCGGCCTTCAAAACAGCTTCTCACCTTGCCTCCCGAGATCAGCCAGGGTGCCATGGTGGTTCGGCTCCTTGGAGGAGGAAGAGAAGATCCCGTCACTTCTCAGCCCAGGGTCCCCCCTCCCTCCCCTCTCGTCAGCTGGCCAAGAACCCAGGGCTCAGCCTGGACGAGGCCGCTGGCCTACGCAGCATCCAGGCTCCCCGGGTGCCCTGGCCTGCACAGGCAGGGTCAGCTCTAGGGGATCTGCTGCTCCAGGCACATTCGGGGGTCGGTGCCTGGAGCATCAGCCCCTCTCTGGAGCATCAGCACAGGGAAACCCCAGGGACTGAAGGGGCCTTCCAGGTGCCCCTTCTTCGTTCTGCAGCCCTTGAAGAGGGGTTGCCATGAGTTAGTGGGGTGACTGCATGCACTGGTGATGTTACCTAGCTGGGTAATAAAACGTCACCCGGCTCAGATAGCACCAAGGACTCCACATTCTCCACACTGAGCTACAAATATTCTCATCTATCGCTGTCATGAGTTGCTGAAACACAGAGGACCTCAGGGTCTGCACAGCGCTCAGGGAAATAACACTGGTTGTCCCAAAGGAGCTTTTTTTTCAAGAGGCAACTGGACTTTCTGGTTTTCCTTTGGAGACATTTCGCTTCTCATCCAAGAAGCTTCCTCAGTTCTGACTGGATGGTGGGATTGAATGGAAGAATTTATATTCCTTACAGACAGCTGGACATTTGCATCCTTTTAGGGAGTCATTGAGGCCACTTGGAGGTTTATCTGTGTCTTCAGGGTCACCTGAGTACTGCAAATGGGTGTGGAGCCTTCTTGGAACTGCTGAAAGGACTGTGTTGAAGACTGGAGATAGATGGTGTCATATCCCTTCCCCTCTGTTGAGGGAGGGCTGTTCAATTTGGACACAGATGGCCTCTGTCCAAAACGTGGACTTTGCTGTCTTCAAAAGAGCGGCCTTTGTCTTTCAAGTGCAGATGGAAGTGCTGAATCTATTCGTGATGGTTTTGTTCTCCTAGATTGCGCCATGTGTTTCTGAAGTGCTTGTTTTGTTTCCCCAAAGTACAGATCTGCACATGGCTCACTGCATTGTACTGCATATACCACATTGCTCAGTTTGTGTCTGGGTGTTTTATCCTTGGGGTGGACAAGCTTCTGCCATAGTGTGTTCTTGGGTTTGAAGTGGGCACATAGGTTGTGTTGGCTGAAGATCCTCCTGAGCTTCCCTTCCCCACCATCCAGGCAGAGCTGAAGAAGCTTCTTGGATGAGAAGCGAAGCACCTTGAAAGAAAAACCAGAAAGTCCAAGTTGCCTCTTGAAAAAGCACCTTTGGGACAACCAGGACCTGGATGACAGAGAAGCTCCATAGATATTTATTTTCTTGGGTTTTTTTCCTTGAACAGAAGCAGCTTCTTGGATGTGAAGCTAAACATTTTGAAGGGAAAAAAGCCCAGTTGCCTTTTGAAAAGCACTTTTGGGTTTGCCGCCTTGAGTTACTGATAAAATAATAAAGGAGGGATAAAAATCTAATAATTAAATAGCTCTAGCTCTGCACGTCCGCCTGACCTGGCAGTTGATGTTCCTTGTCATCTGCTTGTATTCCTCATTTGCCAACTGAGCTTTGATCTTCTCCAGCCGGGCCACTAATTCTGGGTTCTGAAACAGAAAGACCAACACAAACTTTTTCAGAAATGAACCTACATTTAACAAAAAAAATCGTTGCAGTCTGTTCTCTCCTGGTCAGATCCCACTTAAGAGAATAACAGAGCTGCCGGGGATCTTGGAAGTCTTCTAGTCCAACCACCTCTTCGAGCAGGAGTCCGTATACCAGTGGGGTCCAACCTTGGAACCTTAAGACTTGTGGACTTCAGCTCCCAGAATTCCACAGCCAGCTCTGGGAATTGAAGTCCACAAATCTTAAAAGTTCCCAAGTTTGGACACTTTTACCCTCTTCCCAGGAGTGAAATCCAGCAGGTTCTGACAGGCTCAGGAGAACCGGTAGCGGAAATTTTGAGTAGTTCAGAGAACTGGCAAATACCACCTCTGGCTGGCCCCAGTGGGGTGGGAATGGAGATTTTGCAGTATCCTTCCCCTGCCACGCCCACCAATCAACACCACACCCACCAAGCCACGCCCACAGAACCAGTAGTAAAAAAAACTGGATTTCACCACTGCCTCTACCAGTCTCTTCTTAGAAACATCCAGTGATGGAGCACCAGTTCAAACAGAGCAATAAAATCCAGGAGCAAATTCAGAGAAAGTGGAATACTATCAAGATGGTGAGGAAGAGTCAAATGATCTGGATAATTTAGCCGGCAGAAGGGAAGACGGAAGGGAAGAGGAAGGGAGTGTTCAATTATCAGAGAGCTTGTCACAGAAAAGAGGGAGTGGGCTCCTTCTCTGTTACTCCAGAGGGCATGACGAGAACCAGGGGGAGAAACTGCAAGGAAAAAAATCCAGCCAAGGCATCAGGAGGAACTGCCAGACTGTGGAGGGCCAGCCAGTTAAAGTGGCTACCACAGGGTCTCCTTCACTGGAGGCTTTGGGCTTATAGGTCAGGAACTCTCTCTGTCCCTTCCAACTCTATGGTCCTAGGGTGAAAAGTGACCTACCTGGGGATGGTTCGAAGGGGCTGGGTGCTACATTTGGGGGACAAAGGGAAAAAGGGGCCCCTGCACTTTGTGTTTGGCCTCCTAGGTCCATCCATCCGTCCTTCCATATGTTGCCTATCTCATTGCCTAGAGTGACACGTGGAGGCTTCCAATAGCATAAAATAGAGATATAAAGGCACTCCAAGCATTAAATAAATAACTGATTAAAGTCAAGAGCACAGAGGGTTCAGGGCTGGACATTTGCCTCTCATTCAGTCAACCACATCCTGGGTAATGTGTCTCCACTGGAGGCCCAAACCAACCGGCTGAACCAGGGTAGAAACAGATCTCACTCCAGAGGTCAAGATGTTCCAGCAGAGAGAAGGCTCTTCTCCCTGATCCAGGCAGCCAAAATTCCTTGGCCAATGGGGTCTGGAAAAGGCCTCTCCCACCAGTGGGAATGAGGCAAGGCAATTCCACTGGAGCAAGGTGATAGTTATCTGATGAGTGTTATACTATGCTCAGCTTAAGTCATAAGTGCTGTTGTAACTTCGAATGGTCACTAAATGTTATTTTTTTGCTTTTAATTTATATGTCGCCCTTCTCCGGAGACTCAGGGCGGCTTACAATGCGTTAAGCAATAGCCTTCATCCTTTTGTATATTTATACAAAGTCAGCTTATTGCCCCCACAATCTGGTCCTCATTTCACCTACCTTTGAAAGGATGGAAGGCTGAGTCGACCTTGAGCCTGGTAAGATTTGAACTTGAAGTAATTGCAAGCAGCAGATGTTAATAACAGTGCTTTAGTCCACTGTACTACAGGCTCATTTGTTGTAAGTCGAGGACTACCTGTCATGTCCGATACGTACCCTGGGTGGTTTTGTCACTTCAGGGAGAAAGATTTCACTGCCTTCCAACAGTTCATGAAGATACACTGGAGAACCTGAGAATGAGACAAGGCAAAATTGAGGCAAATGTTTCCACCAGAAACCCTGGCCCTGAAGTATGCAGGGCAGACAGGGGAGCAAAATTCCATCTTTTCAGACCAATGCTAATAGCATGCTTCCAAGTTAATAATCAAGCAAAGCCTGAACCTGGCATTACACGGAATGCAGTAAAAGCTGTGATCAGATAGGAACCTACAAGTGCAGCTATTAAAAAAATATGCCTTTGACATTAGGAATTACCCCAAAAATTCCATGCTTCCCTAGTAGAGCCACGGCTTTTCTCAACAGCAAAGCTGTTAGTTTGTTAGTTATAGTTTGCTTTTTCAAAGTATCAGAGCAGCTTTTCTTAAATTAATCCCAGAGCCATCATTTATTTCATAAAATGCAGCCATGCTGAACCACTGTGCAAACAAGCACAGCAAAATACAGCACAGGCAACCTGGAAAACAACATTCTGACACCCAAGGAATCATTTACTACCTTGGGATCATTGCAGAGAAGGGCCAGGGCTTGCCTTCTGCCGGACAATTTGGGTTAAGTTCTGGAAACAAGCACATCTTGAAAAGCAAATAAGTATGGAATTCTTAGTGGTACAACAAGGTGAACCGTACAGGGTGTTAGAGAATCTTATAGGACAGAAAAATAATTCTATTGATTTTAAATTGCAGGCAAGATGAACCATAGACGGCTCTCTCAGAGTGTTACTTAAAAATATATGGATGAATTTTTTACAGAGTTGTAATGTAAAATCAATATTTTTGAATTTGGGGTTTTTTAATCCTTTTGAATCAGATTTCTGACAACTGCCTGGACAAGTCTCTAGATTTCTTACCAACATTTTTTTTCAAAAGTGGTTTGGCAATTGCTGCTTCCTAGAAGTGTGTGTGTGTTTGTGTGTGCGTGAGGCTCAAGGTTACCCAGATGGCTTCCTGCCCAAGGCGGCTGTGCCGGTCTGTAGTCCTGTGCCTTCGCCACTCTCCCAACTGGCTCTCACATCTTTGAGTTTAAGTGTTTTTCAGGGGCTCCTTCCTCCTAAGCAATGTTTCTGTTAACCATTGGTGTATGTTGGCAGATACACACACAGAGTTCTCTTTGGGACACAGGTGGGGGTGGGGAGACATCTTCACAGTTGCAAAATTGATAACAGCCCTTTGAGGTAGGCCAGATCCTAAAACCACTTTTACAGGCAGTCCTTGACTTACAACCGTTCATTTAGTGACCTTTTGAAGTTGCAATGGTACTGAAGTTATTTATGATCTTTTTTCACACTTACAACCGTTGCATCACCTCATGGTCATGCGGTCAAAATTCGGACCTTTGGAACTGACTCCTATTTATGACAGCTGCAACGTCCTGGGGTCACGTGACCCCCTTTTGGGACCTTCTGACAAAGCAAAGTCAATGGGGAAGCCAAAGTCCCTTAGCAACCTTGCTACTAACTTAACAACTGATCAGAATAACAAGAGCTGGAAGGGACCTTGGAGGTCATCTAGTCCAACCCCCTGCTCAAGCAGGAGACCCCCATACCATTTCTGACAAGTGGCTGCCTGCAGTTTCAGCTGCAGTGCTTCACCTAATAACTCTGGCAAGGTGGTAGAATGGAGGCAAGGCTCACTTAACGACTGCCTTGCCTAGCAAGGGAGATCTGGGGCTCAATTGCGGGCGTAAGTCGAGGACTACTACCTGTCTTATGTGGCCACGGGGAGGGAGTCGTGCCATCCGAACGTGCCTTTGCCCTACGGAGAAGCAGGGACTCGGCTGTCTCCGGAGTCCACCCCTCCCGGCTGGGGATGACGGGAGCTGAAGCCTCCCGGGGTGGAGGGAGAGACTCACCGGCGGCCGGGGCGCCCTCCTCCCGCAGGGCCCGCTGGAGCTTCCGGAGGAGCGCGAAAGGCAGGCCGCCCTCGGCCAGGGCCGCCGCCAGCTCCTCCCTCAGCGCTTCGGGGACGCCGCTCGCCTCGGGGCTGCATAAGAACCGGCGCAGCGGCTGCCCGGCCTTGAGAGACGACGCCATTTTGAGACGGTCACATGACCGGTGGAGCTTCCGGCCGGGGAGGCGGAGGAGTAGAAGAGGGGGACGCCTCAGCACCCGGAAGCAGCTTCTGGCTGCCTCATCTCTGCTTCCCTCCCAGCGCCCTCTAGAGGCAGCGCCCCAGCGGTGGGCCTCGCTCAGGGACGCCTGAGACATCCGTTGCCCTCCTTGCTCAGCTGCTCCTTTATGGGGCCTCGTTGAGGTCTCCTCCTTGACGTGCCGTCATGAGGCGCAGGGGGAGCCGGCCCGCAAGACCAGCGCGGCCGCTATGGAGGCATCGCGAGATACCTTGAACTGCGGACTCGGAAGCTGCCTCTCCGTCGCCAAGCGCGCTCCTCTGCTTCTTTTTTTCTCCCGCTCCTCCTACGGCGCGCGCGAGGGGCCAAACCGCTGCGCGGAAGGGCCGCGCGGGGCATTATGGGCCGCGGCGGGCCTTGAGAGACGCCTCTTCGCTCGGGCCGCGGAATGGCGGCGGCGGCGGCGAGGAGCCGGTGCTGGGCGGCGCTGGGCCGGGCGCGGGCCTCCTCCTCCTCCTCCTCCTCCTGCCTGCGCTGGGGGCTGCGGGTCCCGGCCTGGGCGGCTCTCGGGGCGAGGCCGGAGCTGCTGCCCCCGCGGCGCTGCCTCTCCTCCCGGTGGGTCGCGGGCGGGGCGGGGCGGGGAGGGGACGCCGCTCGACCGAAGAGCCTCCCCAAAGGCCCCGGGGCGCGTTCGGCCTGCGAGGCGCCGGGGCTTTCCCGAAGGGTCCCTGGAGGTCATCTAGCCGAGCCCCTCCGTCCCCGGCGGCAGCCCAGGCTCTTCCGAGGGGCGGGCGCAGGATGGCTTCAGGACGGCGAGTCCCCTGGGTTGCCCGCCTCTTGGCCTCGCCGCGCCTGGCCCCCTGCACGGAGCATGCGCGTGGGGAGGGGGCCGACCTGGGTCGGTGGGCTTCATTCCTATGGCGGGCAGCATCGCCTGAGTCGCCCTCCCTCTCCCTCCTCCCTCCACCCTCCCTCGCTGGCTGCGATGTCGGTGGGGGCAACAAAGGAGGGGGGAGGGGGGCTTCCAGCATCTCTCTGTAGGACCCCCCCCCAAAGAGTTAGGAGTAAATGTGTACCAGATAGTCCTCAACTTACGACCACAATTGAGCCCAGATTTTCCGCTGCTAAGCAAGACGGTGCTCAAGGGAATTGTATGACCTTCCTCGCCACGGTGGTTAAGTGAATCCGGCTTCCCCATTGACTTTGCTTGTTGGAAGGTCGCAAAAGGGGATCGCGTGACCCAGGGACACAGCGACCGTCATAAATAAGAGTCGGCCGAGTGTCCGGATTCTGTTCATGTGACCACGGGAATGCTGCAGTGGTCATAAGTGTGAAAAACGACCCTAAGTCATGCCATTGTAACTTTGAACAGTCACTAAGCGAACTGTTGTAAGTGGAGGACTACCTGTCTATGCAGAGCCAGGTAGGGCTGGAGATGAAGGCACCAGCTAGAAACCGGGACAAAGGGGAGTTCTGGTCCAGCCAGCCGGGTGACCTTGGGCCAGTCCCCCCCCCCTTGCAGGCCCCAGGAAGCAGGCAGGACGGAACCTCCCCTGAAGATGGCCGGGGGCATTGAAGCCCATTTAAGGTTTTCTAAACCTGGTGAATGCGAAGGTGGCAGGCAAGCGGGCCACACAGTATTGGTTGCAAGGGCCATGTTGCTGATTCCTGCTCTATCTCCTGATCTTCAAAAGCTGTGTTGAAGCTGTGTCAAAGCTGGCTGAGGAACTCTGGGAGTTGAAGTCCACAAGTCTTAAAGTTGCCCAGGTTGGAGACCCCTGCTCTAAGTTATTCCTCTCAGGGTTCAGCCAGGGCCGCTCTCGGAACGTCTTCTAAACTTGTGGTCATTGAGACCGCAATGTGCTTTGTGGTTAAACTTTAACACCTGGTGGTGCTCTTTATTGCTCCTTTCGCCGTGACCTCCTGGCGTTCCCATGGCCAGACGGAGCTTAGCTGGCGGGGGCTGAAGGGGGGAACCTGGGCCTGGAAGGACACTTCGGATGCTGTTGTTGCTTGGGTCATCCTTTTGGAGCCCTGCCAGGAGAGCCTAACGCCACTCTCTCCCCCAACTCTAGGAATCGCCCTGAGGGCAAAGTCTTGGAGACAGTAGGGGTCTTTGAAGTGCCAAAGCAGCATGGCAAATACGAGACGGGACAGGTGAGTCAGTCGTGTGGATGGAACAGCTTTGGTCCGACCATAACGGGGAGCAAGCCCTTCCCTCAAGGCAGGGAAGATGTTCCCTGGTCAGGTAATGAAATGTCTGGAAGAAAACCACCCAGCTCAGAGAGCACCAATTGTCATTTTCGTCTTCCTTCCTTCCTTTTTTCCTTCCTTCCTTCCTTCCCCCTTTCTCTTGAGACCCCACTTCCTATTAGCACTGATAATATTACTTGGATCATGAAATGTCTGCAAAAAAACCAAGCTCAGGGAGCATCAAAGAACCCAGTCCTCCTCCTCCTCCTCTCAACAAATCTCACTCCCTTCTAGCACTGATGATGTTACCTATTTGGATCCTGAAACGTCTGCAAGAAAACCACCAACTTCATAGAACCCCATGAACCCCACAGTCCTCCTCCTTTTCTTCCTTTTCCTTCTCCAAACACACTCCTTTCTAGCACTGATGATGTTCCAAAGTTGGGTAATAAAATATCTGCAAGACAACCACCCGACTCAGAAGGAGCCCACAGTTTAACCTTAAGCTACAAATATTCTTTTCTATTGATATTGTTTCTGTCTGGTACCACCAAAGACATTCGATTGAGTATGATATTTTAGAATATTTTTGGTCTCTGGGATTTCTGAACCGGGTCCCAGTAGAAGCTGCTGCACTACTTTTCTTAATGCTTTTCTTCATTGCAATGGTGGGGAGTATCTGTAGCTCGGCTGTAGGATGAGGGTGAAGGTTCGTTCTCTGAGCTTGTGGGCTGGTTTCTGAACGTTTCGTTACCAGGCTAGGCAACCTCTTCAGCGGAGTTGAGGGGATGATCCAACCCCAGGAGCTCGGAGAACAAACCTTCATCCTCACATTGGTTCGTTTCCTGGTTGGCCCTGTGAAGAAGGGTCGCCTCCTGACAGTTCATAGGGCCTCTTGAGAGCCACTTTGGTCTACTGCAGGGGCCTCAAACTTGTGGGCCGGATGGCTCACGCACTGGCCACGCCCAGCCCCGGCTTAGCAAAGGGGAAAAAAGTCGCAATGTGTCACGTGACGACAATGTGACGTTGTGAGTTTTGACCCCCTAGATCTAGTGGTTAAAAGGCTGACTTAGAAACCAGGAGATGGTGAGTTCTAGTCCTGCCTTAGGTGTAAAAGCCGGATGGATGGCTTTGGGCCTGTCCCTCTCTCTTGGCCCAACCCACCTCACAGGGCTGTTATGGGGAAAATGCATGGGGTATGTTTGCCACCTTGACTTATTTATAAAGTAATAAACGTGGGATATAAATAAATATAAATATTTGGTAAACCGTTCCTTGCTTGGTGGTCTGGGATGAGTAGACACGGCCTCCTGGCAACCAGGAGGTGAAAATACCACCGTGGGGTTTAAAGGCTTGGACTGCTTAAAGCAGTTAGAAGAGATTTGGGAGGAAAGTGAAAGGGTTTGAGGGTATTAACTTCCTTAGGCTGCTTTGAATGACGAGTGTCTGCTCTGCTCACAAGCTGGGATTCTGAGCATTGTGTGAAATTTCAGCTGACAGGAATGGAGTCCTGGACCTTTCTGTGCCCCCACCTCCACCCCCCCTTAGAGACCCTGCAAGTAACAGCCAGCTCCATCAAACCTGGAGGCCTCCTCTCCCCACATCTGCTCGAGGGAGGTGTTTTCCTTCCTTCTGTGCACTCCGCCTCTCTGACACCGGCCTTGCTTATCTTGAGGCCTTTCTCCCACCTTCTCTTGCAGTTGTTCCTCCACAGTATATTCGGATACCGGGGAATTGTCCTCTTTCCTTGGCAAGCCAGGTTGTACGACCGAGATGTCGCTTCTCCTGTGCCTGAAAAGTAAGTGTGGGCAGTCGCTCGGGACTGAGGGAGCAGAGAAGCAGGGGCATTATTGGGAAGCCGCCACATCCCTGACAGGCAGCAAAGGCTTCCAGGGCAGGGAGGGAGGGAGGGAGGGAGGCTGCAGAGATGAAAATAAGGGATTTGCAAACGAAATATTTGATCTTGTATCGAGTCTGTTTTTCTGTGACACAATTTCTCTTTGTTAACTTTTTTGTAAACTCCGTGTCTATTCCTACAGGGCCTCGCAGGCTAAAGTTTGCGTAGGGCAGAAGCAGTGGGGGCTTCTTGCAGGGACAACAGCATCAGGCAGTGCTGGGTTCAGATCCGTTGGGGTGAATTCAGGCTACAAAACAGCAAAAGAGGGGCTGGGGTTTTCCTACACAGAGAGTGAGAAACGCCTGCTTCCTTAAGGCATCGGGCAGCTCTTTGATTGGGGCGTCTGGCTCAATGCAAGGCACGGCCGGCCGGTTGTAGGTGAAATACACAGGTAGTCCTCCATTTACAACTATTCATTTAGTGACCGAAGTTACAACGGCACTGAAAAAAGTGACTTATGACCATTTTTGAGTTACAACCTTTGAGGCCAGCATCCCCATAGCTCGGCAACTGGCATGTACTTAAGACGGTCGCCGTGTCCCGGGGTCACGTGATCCCCTTTTGTGACCTTCTGACAAGCAAAGTCAACGGGGAAAAACCGGATTTGTTTAGCAACCCTGTTACTAACTTAACAACTGTAGTGATTCACTTAACTGTGACAAGAAAGGGACAAATTCACTTGACAATTATCTTGCTTGGCAACGGAAATGTTGGGCTCAGTTGTGGTCGTAAGTCGAGGACCGCCTGTGGTTGCTGTCAGTCTGCTAAGAAAGCGGCTTTTTCAACCCCGCCCATCTTGTTCCAGGAGTGATTCTGCTGCTGGACATGGATCCAAAGAAGTGAAAGGAAAGACACACACTTACTATCAGGTCCTGATCGATGCTCGCGACTGCCCACACATAGTAAGTGCTTCCGGTTTACAGCGAGGGATTCATTTAATTCATTTTCCTCAGTTAAAGCCTTTAGGATACTGTATCTGGACTTTGTTGCTTCTTTGGGGTCAGGAGTTGCTTCAAGCAGAAGATCGTAAGGGTCTTCTTCTGCTGTTACTTTGCCAGTATTTTCCTCATAGTGAGAGGAAAAGTCAATTAGGGGCCTTTCAGGACTTGTGGCAACTGACCTGTATCCTGCAATTCGCCCACTGGCTCCTTTTTCAGCATATTCTTTAGCTTCTTCATCAGAGCTGTCTAAATCATCTGTTCTGCTGGTTGCGTTTGTTTCGAAGTTTTCTTGATGCTGGCTAGCCATCTGAATCCTCCGGGCTCCGGTTAATACCGGGGATTCACGGGTCCAAGTAATTTTCTTTTTAGTGACCCCTTTTGTTTTAGATGACATATGTGAGCTTGCTAAAGATCATTAGACCACAACCATCCTCTTGCTATCAATTTGTTAGGAAATGTATGTAGAAAGGTGAGCAGTCTAGTCCCTCCCTCCTCCCTTGCCTTGGAGTGGATGAGTCCCACCTTCTGATGTTCTTAGCCATCCACCCATGAGCGATCCATTGGAAGCCAGTTGTCTTAATATTATTAATGAAATGCAGTTTCTCAGATCAGCGGCATCTCCTGCCTTGCCTCTTGCCATTTCCATTATTTTTTATAAGTGCTCTAAGATGAGTCAATTAAATTCAACTCTTTGGGAGGCATTTCATACATCTGGATCATCAGTATGATGACCTTCTGGGCCAAACTTGGCCACTTTAAGACTTTAAAACTCCCTGAATTCCCCAGCCAGCCATGTTCTAGGCACAGGGCAGGCAAGCCTTTGGCAATGGGGAGTCTTTGGAAAGGGAATGGAAACAAACAAGCTCATTTTGCAAATAGGAGTAGGTTTGAGATGCTGAAATTAGAGAAAAGCAGGAACTCTAAAATGCCAACTGAGACTTTAAGAGCTCAGCAATGGAAGCGGACAGACAATGAATTTTCTCAGGGTTAGAACATTCTGCAAGCCGCTGTCTGTCCCCCCCCCCGTCCCCCCATGCAGTGGGCCTTAAGAAAGCCTCTACCCAACATTTCCCCCCAATGTGAGAGGCCACCGCTGCCAGTACCATGGCAGGTCCCATCCCTGTATCGGGGGTGGGGGGGGGTGGGGGCGGCATTTGGTATGGGGAGACCCCTTAGCACTGTACTTGAGAGTCCCAACAACAGGTGGATAGCAATAACGCTTAGACTTACCTACCGCTTCACAGTGTTTTTACAGACTTCTCTAAGCAGTTTACAGAGTCAGCCTCTGGCCCCCAACAATCCAAGTCCTCATTTTACCCATCACAGAAGGACAGAAGGCTGAGTCAGCACTGAGCCTGGTGAGATTTGAACTGGCAAATTGCAGGTAGCTGGCAGCCTGCATTCTTAACCGCTGCACCACCACTGCTCTTAGCCGTGCAGGTAGTCCGGCTCTTAAAAGTGCAGTGTGATGGCCACACAGTCGGAATCTGGCCGGACTATCCCGTCAGTCTGACGCAGGCTTCCTCAGATCCGAGTCCCGCTGGCTCTGCCTGCCTTGGACTGCAGCTTCAACTCTCGGCCTTCCTCTTTTTCCCTCAGTCTCAGAGATCCCAAACAGAAGCCGTGACGTTCTTGGCCAACCACGACGACAGCCGAGCCCTCTATGCAATCCCAGGTAAGCCAAAGGGAGGGCGGGAAAGTGGGCATGTCCAGCCTGCGGAAACCTTTGCACCCTTGAAAGGAGGGGGCTGCGAGGGGGACCGGTTCCAGAGGGCAGGCTGTGAAATAATGGACATCAAAATACAGGAAGGCAGTCGCTGATTGAAAGATGGGAACCAATACAGGAGAATTATCTGCAGCTCAGGGTTGAAATGAGGGCTCCTGGGTGCTCTCTGGTCTTGGTGGCTTTCTTGCAGACGTTTCATGACCCTACTAGGGAACATCATCAGTGCTAGGAGAGGGAGGAGAAGGACTGTAGGGTCCTTGGTGCTTCCTGAGCTTGGTGGTTTTCTTGCAGATGTTTCATGACCCAAACTAAGTAATACCATCAGTGTTAGTGGTGCTAGCCCTGGTGATGTTACATCATCACTGGTACTGATGATGTTACCTAGTTGGGTCATAAAAAGACTCAACTAGGTAACATCCAAGCTGCGAGAAAATATTCAAGCTCAGAGAGCACCAAGGACCACACAGTCCACTCCAGAAACCCTTCCTCCCTTCTAGCACTGATGATGTTACGTAGTTGGGTCATGAAACGTCTGCAAGAAAACCTCCACGCTCAGCACCAAGGACCCCCCATGAAAGATAGGAGAGGAACAGCAGTTGGGTAGAAGCAAGGTGACCCAGGAAGAAGGTGCTGGAGCTGTTCAAGCAGAAGCTGGGCGGCCATTTAGCTGGAAAGCTTCAACTTGGATGCCTGCCCTGAGCGGGATTGGTGATCTCTGTATTTCTGAGGCCATTCATTCCTCCCTTGGCTGGCTGGCTGGCTGGGAGAGAGAGAGAGAGGGGCAAGAGTTTGCTAACCCCGAGTGGCCTGAACATATTTGCAGCCTCACTAAGTTCTACTTGGTGAGTAGAAGTGTAAAGTCTGGAAAATATTCTGCAACCAGATTCTTGAAAAGCGAAGAAACCTCCGTTGTACAAAGAAGCGGAGAGGAGCAACCCTCCTCACGTGAAGGGCTTGTGGGGTTTTCCTAGAGCCTTCGCCTTTTCAGTGTGTGTTATCAGTTGTGTTACAGCTGGGAAGCTCCTGCTGTCTGTTAGGCACGGAGGCAGGATGACGCCCTGGAGCTGAGGTGACACACCCTCACCTGTCCCGCAGGTCCTCTGGTGCTGGCAGCTTTAACGTTCGCAAAGCAGCTTTCGGGTCTGTGAAATGAAGGGGCTTCTGCGACTGAGCCCAGCCCGCTCCTCTTCCTTTTCAGGACTGGACTACGTGAGCCACGAGGACATCCTGCCATACACGTCCACGGATCAGGTGCCCATCCAGCACGAGCTCTTTGAACGGTTCCTCCTGTACGATCAGACAAAAGGTACTTGGCCCCAGCCCCCTCCCCGCTCCGGGAGCAGGGCTGGCCCTTGGGGGGGGGATTCAGGGCGAGGGGGGGTCTCTTCCCACAGACTCTGGGAATCCACAGGGATTCTAAGGGATCTCTCAGCCTCCCCACAATACAGGGAGTCCTCGACTTATGATCCTGATTGAGCCCCAGAGTTTCCATTGCTAAGCGAGGCAGTTGCTGAGTGAGTCGCACAACCTTTTTGCCATGGTTGCTAAGGGAATCACAGCCATCGTTAAGGGAATCATCGTTAAGCAGGTTGCCTTCCCCTGTTGACTTTGCTTATCGGAATCCGGCTGGGAATGCCGATCACGTGACCGTCATACATGCAGGCCAGTGGCCGAGCGTCCGGATTTTGATCACATTGCCACGGGGATGCTGCAATGGCCCTAAGTGTGGGAAATGGTCATAAGTGGAGGACCTCCTCAGAAGCATTTTTAGCCTGTGGCCGGCCAGATCAAGGGCTCAGCGCTTCCCCCACCTGGCCCAAAGTGGTTGTGGGTCCCCTGTGATGTGGCAGTGATGGAGTGGTCCCCCCTCGGCTCATCAGGGTGCTTCCCCTGATTTTATCCTGAAGGGGGTTTTACTTTCAGATTGTCCTTGACTTACGACAGGTCAGAGCGATGATGGGCCCCACAGAACCTCCTTAGGACCTGGATTCAGAGCTCCGATTGCCCCGGGGCCTCCCTTGACCCACAGTCACATTACTGTGGTTTTGGGCGCTCATCACCCAGCCCATGTTTACAGCGTCCTGCATTTGGATGACTCTGGTTTATGACGTCGTTTCTGGAAAGTGGCATTTTTACGTCCAGTTTCTGACAAAAAGCCTCCCATAGCGAACAATGGGCTTGCTTAATGACCGTTGCCCATTGGGCATGGTCACGTGATAACAACCGGCCCAGCTTATGACTGCCTAATAAGAGGCCAGCCTCTTGGGGGCTTCGGTGGGCAGCCCCTCCCTCTCCTGACCGTTTCCTCTTCTGTTCAGCTCCCCCGTTTGTGGCGAGGGACACGCTCTGCGCCTGGCAGGAGAAGAACCACCCGTGGCTGGAGCTCTCTGACGTCCACCGGGAGACCACCGAGAACATCCGGGTCACCGTCATCCCCTTCTACATGGGCATGCGGGTAGGTGGGCGTGCGGTCCCTGCGCCCTCCCGGCCTGGCCTGGCATTTCCCTGCATTGGAAGGGGGGGGAGAGGAAAGGGGCGGCAATGAAAGACAAGGCAAAGGGGCAGAGCACAGCACAGCCAGTCCTCGACTTACAACCGTTCATTTAGTGACCGTTCAAAGTTACAGGGGCACTGAGAAAAGGGGATGAGGACCGTTTTTCACACGACTGTAGCCGCATCCCCACCGTCACGTGATCAATAGGTTGGGTCTCGTGTGTGTGTCATGGGACCTTCTAACCTGCAAAGTCAACGAGGGAGCCAGAGCCACTTAACCATGTTATTAACTTGGTTCACTTAACAACGGTGTCAAGCAAGGTCGTAAAATGGAGCAAAATTAACTGAAACAGCTGTCTTGCTGAGCAACGGAAATTTTGGGTTCAGTTGTGGTCATAAGTCAAGGACTAGCTGTAAACGAAAAAAACACTAGAATGTAAAGAAGAAAAAGTAAGTTAAAAATAGAGAAAGAAGTAAATATTCCATATTATCCGAGTCTTAACAGATCCAGAGGGGGTTGCAAATGAACCTCTCTCTGGACCCAAACACCCCAGGCATAAGAACTCTCCCGCCTGAGAGGCCCAGGCCGGTTTTCTGACCCCAACTCCTGTTTAAAACAGAGATGAGCAACTTCAAAATCATCTTTCCCTCTTTCCCTCTGCTGCCTGGGCTGCCCACCCGGAAAGGTTGGGGAACTCTGATGTAAATTGATTGAATAAAGTACAAATAAATATTACTTAGAGTATGGCATGACATACTTGGACTTACAATTTCATCTAAATTAAAAACACAAAATACGAATGTTAAAAAGATCTGTGTTCAGATACCAGGGTCTAGGCCATCTAACTGGGTGGGGGGGGGTAGGCAGACAGACAGACGGACAGACTGACCGACCAAGAAGAGCCCGCTGTGGGTGGTTCTGTCCCGACCTGTTTTTGGCCTCCTGTCGGCCCTTTCGAGTTTTGACACGGGCTGAACATTGCAAGGGGCAGCACTGCCATCTGGGGGAGATTGGGGCAGGGGGGGATGGGGGCCGAGCTGGCATGAAGCCATGGGAAACGGCCTCTCTCTCTTCTCTCCACAGGAAGCGCAGAATTCTCACGTCTACTGGGTGAGTCTCCCTGTTCTTATGGCTGCCTGGGGGAGGGGCGTGGGGGGGGGGGGGGGCGGAGAAGCCTTGCTCTGCCCTCGGAAGGGTGAGGGGACCCTCTGATCCGTTTTCTCTGCCTCCCATCCAGTGGCGCTACTGCATCCGCCTGGAAAACCTCAACAATGAAGTTGTGCAGCTCCGGGAACGACACTGGAGGATATTCAGCTTGTCCGGCACCCTGGAGACCGTCCGTGGCCGGGGAGTGGTGGGTCGGGTGAGTAAGGGGAGGGGATCGTGTCACAGCAGAGGCTCGTCCTGGGAGTCTGAGTGTTTCCCTTTGTGGACCCCCTCTTCTAAAGGCTCAGAGCAAAGAAATCTGTGTGGCCGAGGTCAGCTCGGCCTCCTTGGCATCCGGGAAGCCCCCCCTCCTCCCCCACGCCTTCGGCCACAGCAAGGCTTTTCCTCCCTGCAGGAACCTGTCTTGTCCAAAGAGCAGCCGGCCTTCCAATACAGCAGCCACGTCTCCTTGCAGGCGTCCAGTGGGCACATGTGGTGAGTCTCGTGGACTGGCTCCTCTGCCCTGGGGAGTCTGACGGGGGCCTGGTGCTCGGCCACCTCCTGTGTCGGGGGAGGGAGGGAGGGAGTCTCGGAATGCGCTTGGGAGGTCTGCACCCTGGAAGCAGCTGGTGGGGGAGGGAACGGGGCAGGAGAGCCGGTGCCACACGGAAGGGGCCCTTTCAGGAACGTGGCCCCTCAGGAGGGCTGACAGTAGCCTCTCCTTCCACTTGTTCCCGGTATAAAGTGTTGCATCACTTTCTTAGTGCCTGAGGACAGGGAGTCCTCGACTTACAACCGTTTGTTTAATGACGGACGTTATTACAGTGGAACTGAAAAAAGTGACTTGTGGCCGTTTTTCACACTTATGACCGTTGCAGCATCCCCATGGTCATCACGTGATCAAAATTTGGGCGCTTGGCAGCCGGCTCCTATATATGGTGGTTGTCCTGGGGTCTTGTGATCCCCTTTTGCGACCTTCTGGCAAACTGAGTCAATGGGGGAAGCCCGATTCACTTAACCACCCTGGCAAGAAAGGTCGTAAAATGGGACAAAACTAACTTAACCACTGTCTCGCTTAGCAACAGAAGCGTTGGGTCCAGTTGTGGCCATACGTCTGTCCATCTCGTAGAGGCCTCACCTGGGCTCCTTCCTTCCTTCCTTCCCTCCCAGGGGCACCTTCCGTTTTGAACGGCCCGACGGCTCCCATTTCGATGTCCGGATCCCCCCCTTCTCCCTGGAAAGCAATAAGGACGAGAAGACGCCCCCTTCTGGCCTCCACTGGTAGAGCAGCCTTAGGAAGCCAGCCCCCCCTCCCCCTTTTTGCCCCTCTGGACAGTTTTCCTCCCAGGACCCCCCACCCCTCAAGGGCTGACACTAGTTCTAGGTTTGAAAGAGTGTCCCTCCCACCCCCGACTCCATCTCGAACAACTGGACCTCGAGAGGGGTGGGCTCTGGCCGTCTGCCCTCTCGCCACCGGCCTCCCGACTAGGGGCACCTCGAGCAAAGCTGCCCTGGACGGAAGCCGCAAAGCTCTCCGAAGGCCTGTGGACTCTTCCAGATGTGAGGTGGTGTGTTTCTTCATTAAATAAACCGGCCTCCCTGTTACGGCACCATCTTCCTCGTCACCTGTGTCTCCATCGGTCCCCCCTTGTGGGGCGGGGGGCGCAGCAGCCCAGGCCCTTCTGTCACTTGAATGGCACCGTGCCCCACTCGCCCCCCCTCTCTTTGCCGGGCCAGTTTGCACCCGACTTGTTAGCCCTCCCTGGCCTTGTTGCCAGAGCCTCTTCCCCTCCTCTTCGGTTGTTCTGAATTGTGGCCAGGGGACTCGGGGGGGGCAGCTGCCCAGGACGAAATAAAGTGCCACTGACTGCACAAGCAGGAAGCTGACCTCTGTGAAGCAACTGGCAGGCTGGAGATTTCCTCCAGCCACCTGGGGTTGGCACACCTGGCAGAACGAGGTTCCTGGTGCCAAATTGGGAGGCAGATGCGCAGAGTCTTTGCCTCCACAGGGTGCACAGCTATGAGGCCCGTTTGTCAACCATCCCAGCTTCTAGGAAACATCCAGCGTGCCACGGAGAGGACCTCTGCGCTTGTAATAAAACGAGGACTTCTGAATTGTTTGGCTTCCTTTGTCTTTTGAAAAGAGGCGGGGTGTCACAGGCAGCGTGACGTGCGTGGGATTAAGTGCTGGGTTCACAAGATCCCCGAAGCGTTGGGTCCTGTGTGCTCTCTGAGCTTGGTGGTTTCCTTGCAAGCGTTTTGTGACCTGACTAGGTAACATCATCAGTGTTAAGAGAGTGAATTGGTGGCTTGTGGGTAATTTAACAGTAAACAATCTAATTAAGGAAGCACCAAGAGGAACCCACCAACACTGGCAGGCCAGCCACGAGAACCTTTTGCAAGAAAATCACCAAGCCCAGAGAGGACCAAGGACGGTTAACCCTTGAACTACATTCTCTTCTGTCGATACCTGAAGTAGGCAAACTCTTTGTATCCCCAGAGGCTTAGTGACGCTGAAGACTTCTCCCCACCAGCAGTCCCTTCTCCAAGCGGTAGCCGTTCTCGGCCCCTGCATCAGCACAGAATCCTAGCATTGGTGCTACCTTTCTCGATCGGGATTCCTTGTGCACAGTCACTCACGCCCTCGTCACCTCTCGCCTTGACTACTGCAATGCTGTCTACATGGGGCTCCCCTTGAAGGGCACCCGGAGGCTCCAGCTGGTCCAGAACGCAGCAGCGCGGGTAGTGATGGGAGCAACATGGTGCTCCCATGTAACACCGCTCCTGCGCGAGCTGCACTGGCTCCTGGTGGTCTTCCGGGTGCGCTTTAAGGTGTTGGTTATCACCTTTAAAGCTCTTCATGGCATAGGGCCTAGCTATCTTCGAGACCACCTGCTGCCACCAACGACCTCCCATCGACCCGTGCGCTCCCACAGAGAGGGCCTCCTCGGGGTGCCATCAGCCAAACAATGCAGGCTGGTGACCCCCAGGGGGAGGGCCTTCTCTGTGGGGGCACCTACCCTCTGGAATCAGTTGCCCCCAGAGATAAGGAGAATCCATGACCTCAATGCCTTCCGTCGTGCCCTTAAAACCCATCTTTTCCAGCAAGCTGGGCTGGTTTAAGAAGAAATTTTTAAATTCTTTTAATTAGTTTGTGATTTCTTAACTTTCGGGCCAAGTTTATATATATTTTTAACTGTTTTTAATATTTGCATTCTATGTTCTTATCTTGGCTGTACACCGCCCTGAGTCCTCAGGGAGAAGGGCGGTATATAAATTGGAAATTAAATTAAATTAAATTACCTTCCCTCAGGGGAGCTCAAGACAGCAAGCTGTTTTTTATTTATTTAATTTATACACCACCCATCTTCTCCCCATCCACAACAGCTCTGGGGCTTTATCCCCACAACCGTCCCATGGGGAGGGAGGGAGGGAAGGGTGGGCTGAGAGGGGGAGGCTTGCAGGTACCCCTCGACGTACAGCAGTACATTTAGCGGCTGTTCAAAGTTACAGCGGCACTGAAAATAGTGACATATGACTGTTTTTCACACTTGCGACCATTTGCAGCATCCCCTTGGCCACGTGATCAAAACTCAGGTGCCTGACAACTGACTTGTATTTATGACAGCTTTGAGGAGCAAAGTCCATGGGGAAGCCAGATTAACTTCACAGCTGCAGTGATTCACTTACTGACCGTCAAGGAAAGTCAGAAAATGAAATGAGGCAAAATTTAACAAATGTTTCATTTAGCAACAGAAATCTTGGTCGTAAATTGAGGACTACCTCTCTTAGGGCCCCCTGCTCTCCGTCCAACCGCATCCATTCTAAGGCCCTTTGAAAAAAGACCATCAGAGCCAGGGACAAAACCACTTTAATTGTCCTGCGTTTCCCCACGTTTATTGGGCTTTGGTGTGCCAGGAGTTGGTTATGGAACACTATATCCAGCCTCTGACCGTTCCGTTTAAAAAAAGAACACAATACAGTTGTTAAGCTGGAGAAACACTCAAAAGGGAGAACTGTATGGACGAATTTCAGCCCTGAGGCTTCCTGGAACAGCCAAGTCTTCATAGAAGCAAGAGTTAGGGGAACCTAAGGGGTCATGCAATCCACCCCCTGCACGCCGCAGGATCCACTTCATCAGGGCTCTCCAATCTGGGTGACTACTACTTGTGGACTTCAACTCCCAGAATTCCTCAGCCAGCAGCAGCTGGCTGAGGAATTCTGGGAGTTGAAGTCCACAAGTAAAGTCGCCCAGGTTGGAGAGCCCCGCATTACAGAAAGAAACCCCGAGAGATCCAGGCTCGGTTTCAACGATCGGCCCGGAGCAGCTGCAGCCCCCGCCTTGCCCAGACGCCCCCTCCGCTTCCTTCGCCGCCCCGACAGTGTCTCAGGTGGGCCGGGCTCGAGCCAAACCCGGCCCCCTCTGCTCTAGCAGACGCATGCGCGCTGAGGCACTCGGGGCCGGTTTGTCCGCGCTCGGCCACCGTCCGCCGTTTGTTTCCTTGGCTTCGGTGAGCCAAGATGGCGGCAGCAGGTCTGGAGCGGGTCCGCGTTTCGGCGGCGGAGCTCCGGCGGGGAATCCTGGCCACGGCGGAGGCGGAGGCGGAGGCGACGCACGGGAGGGGCGGCCCAGGTGAGGGCGCGGCAGGCGGGCGGGTTCGTTGGTTGGTGGGTTGGCGGCGGCGCGGAGCAGGGTGGCCGGGGGGGCGTGGTGCGCTGGTGCCCCCTCCTCCCTCCCTCTGGACAGCTGCGCGCGCCCCGCGCCTGCGCAGTCTTTTCTCCTCGGTCTGGGCCGGACTACAGCTCCCACAATGCCTTGCCGGTCCGTTAAGGGGACCCGGGGACTTCCGCCATGGGGGCCCTCCCGGAAGGCCTCCCTTTGCCCCCACCCCTTGCGAAGAAGTCAGCTGGAGTGGCCGCACCCCCTCTGGGGTCTCCTTTCGTAGTCTGTCTAAACCTGATTACCCTCCCAGGCCCTGGGCTCGTGGGGGGCGGCTGCTTGGTTGTGGGGGTCCACCCTTGGCCACTTTAAGACCTATGGACTTCAATTCCCAGAATTCCCCAGCCTGTAAAGCGGTCCGCAAAGCTAGCTGGGGAATTCTGGGAGTTGAAGTCCACAGGTGGCCAAAGGTGGACAACCTTCCCCCCACTCCCAGCTTATCTCTTGTTATATTTGCTGTTTGTTTCTCCTCTTAATTTGTGGAGCTGGACAGCCTTGAAGTTGCAATAATAAACAGCAATATGAGAATCCAAATGAAAGTATTTGGGGTGGAGGGAGGGGCTGACCCGCCTTTGACTCCCTCCTGGTTGGTGCTGATCTTGCCTTTTAGGAATCTTTCCTGGCCTTTTGCTGAAGCTGCTTCCTGGAACTATTATTTTGAGTTGCATCTTTTGGAGACACAGAGAGTGTAGAGAAAGCATGAGAATCTTCAAATAGTTGAAAAGTTATGTGTTGTCGACATGTCCATGTACAAAATTTCCCTTTGGTAACTTCAGCATCTCATGTCCTAATAATCAGTATTGCCTTTCTGGGCACCTGGGCTCGTTTCTTGGAGTCGTTGTTGTAGGGTGGATTCCAGGAATCGGGCCCTATGTTGAGGTGGGATCTGAACCAAGGATACATCGAATGGAACAGTTGGTTCTTACGGTCCCAAAGGTGCTTTTTCAAGAGGCAACTGGACTTTCTGCTTTAATAGAGTTGCCTCTTGAAAAAGCACCTTTGGGACAACCATGACCTGGATGACTGAGAATCTCCACAGACAGTTGGATCTTCTTATTTGACCACCACACTTCCATGTACCTGGGATGGTGTCTTTGATGTTCCTGGAACTGTGTTTTGATGTACCTAGAATTCTGTCTTGACATACCTGGAATTGACTCTTTGATGTACTTGGAATTCTATCTTGATGTACCTAAAATTGGCTGTTGATATACCTAGAATTGTGTTTGTCTTTTCAGAAGCCAGGTTGCAACAGGCAACCTGGCTTCTATTGACTCACATTCAGCTTATCAACTACAGTTTCGGCATCATTTTCACATCTAATACGTCACCACCAGGTCATATCCTATCTCTGCATTCAGAATGCTAAATCTGAATGTTCCATCTGATTTTGTTAGTTTTTCACCCAGTTACCCAACCTAGCTTGGTTTTTTTTTAATCCTCTTGAATATTATTCAACCCAGTTTTGCATAATTTCTAAATCTGATCAGCAAACCTTTTCATCTCGGTTGCTCATTAATGTATTGCCAAGTATAAGACCCACAGCTGAATCTTGAGGCAGTCCGCTTGTTCCTTCATCACATTTTGGTTAAGAACCACAGGAAGCCCTCTTGGAATATGCATTTATTTGTTTCAGGGATTTATAAAACTGCCCCACTCACAGGCAGTTGTGGCTGTGGAAATACTCCTAATAAAAGTAAAAAAAATGAGTCAAAAGATAAATATAGGACAGAACTAAGGTACCCCAGAGCTGAGGCTGCGGACAGAACCACCTGGGCTCATCTAAGATCTTGGTCCATCGCCCAGGAGAAGAACTATGTGGTGACAGGTAGTTCTCCACTTAATGGCCATAACTGAACGCAAAATTTCTGTTGCTAAGCAAGACAGTTAAGTAAGTTTTGCCCCATTTTAGGATCTTTTTTGGCACATTCGTTAAGTGAATCTGACTTCCTTATTGACTTTGCTTTTCACACAGTCACAAAAGGGGATCACGTGACCCAGAGACATTGCAACCGTCATAAATACGAGCCAGTTGCCAAGCGTCCGAATTGTGATCATGTGACCGTGGGGATGCTGCAAGGGTCATAAGTGTGAAAAACATTCAGTTCCTTTGTAACTTCAAACGGCCATTAAACGAATGGTTGTAAGTCCAGGACTACCTGTACATAGAACTCCCTTGTGACAGAAGGCCATCAAGGCCCTGCTCTCCAAAACATTTTGCTGAAACTAAAAAAGATTACATCCACTTTTAGCCGTGCAGTTTGCTTGGGCTTTGTGTATGGCTGCAGCGTACAACACTGTATATGTATTCTATTACACATAAATGTAATATGCTCTGTCAGCCCAACCCAGGCCTCTTGTGGGGAAGACGGAAGGAGGAATAGAATATTTTTAGTTCGGGGTTGAAAAGTGGGGGTCCTTGGCACTCTCTGAGCTTGGTGGTTTCCTTGCAGATGTTTCATGTATCAAATATGTTCACCTTCGATTACTTTTAAAAATAATGTAGGATACCAATAAAATAAAAATTAAATTTATACGCCACCTGAAGTGCTGGGAGTTGGGCTGCATGTACGCTTAAATTATTATTATGTTAAAGTTTTAATGCCATGTGTCCTGACTTGGTTTCTTTGGAAGAAAACTGCTTGACTCCATTGATGAAGTGAAAGGCTCACTTTTACTAAGTTCAGGCAGTAACAACAACCTAATCAAAGTTGTATCTGAATGTCCTCACGCAAAGCTTGCATTTTCCCCCTTTCCCTGGCCTTCCCCCCTTTTGGCCAATCCATCAGTGTCCAATAGCATTCATTTCGGATGTTTTGGCAACAACTCTGAGTTTAGGTGCCTCTTTGGTGGAGTTTTGTATTCCGTCCTTGATCGGCAGGTTTATTCCTGATTGATACCCCTGGTTCCTGTCACACACCCCTTCTCCTCCCCATGCCCATTCCCCACTTCCCCAATCTCCTCCCCCCTCCCCTGTGCTTTATGGCAGGATGCCAGCGAAGCAAATAGGCAGAAGATGTCAGGCCTGACTGGGCCATGGACTCCGGCTGTGTTTCAATCCGGAGCTTATGCTCTTGTTCAAGAGAGTCTGTCTATTTTCCTAGCTTCTAAAGTTTCCTGGATGCTGAGCTGGCCTCCTCCTTGTTGACCTTCTCTTACCCCCGTGGAATCAATCTTTGTGGTCTCTTTGCCCTCTCGGCTTTTCCTGTGGGGCTCTTCTGGTAATTTCCCCCCTTGCCTCTATGCAAAATGGGAGGTTTCGCTCACCGTTTCCTCTTGATTCCACACAGCTACATCTTGTACAGCAGGTCTCCGTCTCATCGCTTCAGGTGAAGCTCCCTCCAGCTGCTTTCAAGCTCATCTGTCTAGAAATGTTTCTTGGTCATGGGCCGAGCCTTCCGCGTGGGGCAGAGTCTCCCATGATGATCAGCATTTTGATCAGGAAGGGAGGAATCTAATCTGCCAGGGTTTTCTGGTTTATTGACAGCAGGGGTGTCCAACTTTCGCAACCTTAAGACTTGGGGACTTCAATTCCCAGAATTCTGGGAGTTGAAGTCCAGAAGTCTTAAAGTTGACTATGGAATTCTGGGAGTTGAAGTCGTAAAGTTGCCAAAATTGGATACCCCTGATTTACAGGATATGATTGATACAGCTGGCCATCTCACCCAGTTGACTCTGGTTGACTTACAAGAATTAAAAACACAAAACCACCAAGCCAGAACAAGGACTAATAAATGCTAGTGCTGAAGGATAATCTATAACTGTACCTATGGAGGCAAAAGCCCATTGATAGCAGCAGGGCTTATCTGATTAAGAAGGACTAGGGGAGACATGATAGCACTGTTCCAATATCTCAGGGGTTGCCCCAAAGAAGAGGGAGTCCACCTCTTCTCCAAAGCACCCGAAGGCAGGACAAGAAGCAACGGATGGAAACTCACCAAGGAGAGAAGCCACTAAGGAGGAATTTCCCGACAAGGAGAACAATTAACCAGTAGAACAGAAGTTGCCTCCAGAAGTTGTGGATGCTCCAACACTGGAAGTTTTCAAGAAGAGATTGGACAGGCATTTGTCTGAAATGCTATAGGGTTTTCTGCCTAAGCAGGGGGTTGGACTAGAAGACCTCAAATGGTCCCTTCCAACTCTGGCATTCTATTGTAACCGTGTTGGCTTTGAGTCTCTTCTCTGTCCTTTTGGTGAAGAGCCCAGTGATCCCTGTCCTTCTCCAGGCCGGTAAAAGCTGCATTCTGACACCTGTGTCCAAACATTTTGATTAGGGGTAGTCCTCGACTTACAACCTTTCATTTAGTGACCGAAGTTACAACGACACTGAAAACAGGGACACGACTGTTTTTCAGCAACCATTGCAAGATCCCCACAATCATGTGATCAAAATTCAGACGTTTGGCGACTGACTCATATTTGTGACCGTCGCAGTGTCCTGGGGTCATGTGATCCCCTTTTGCGACCTTCTGACAAGCAAAGCCAGTGGGGAAGCCAGATTCACTTAACGACCGTGTGACTAACTTATCAACGGCAGTGATTCACTTAACAACTGTGGCAAGAAAGTCATAAATTGGGGCAAAACTTACTTAACGACTGTCTGGCTTAGCAACAGAAATTTTTGTGGTCGTAGGTTGAGGACTTAAGGGGGAGGGCTCTTCGCCATGTGCAAAAGACCACTCTCTAGTACCTTGCTCACCACCAGGCGCCTGGCCAGCACCGCAAAACCTGAGGTGTGCCACCCTCTCCGGTGCCAGGCTCCGGAGCTGTGTTTGCTGGGCTCCCAGCCTCCAACTCCAGAGGGCATCTTGGTGCGTCCGTGGCCAGCCCCTGCCACGGCCTCTGGGTGGTGGTCCTGCTCTTGCTGCCACCCAGTGTGTTTGCCAGCCTGTGCCATCTTTTGTGGCACCCTC